GTTTCAGTTAGAAAAATATTCTGATTCAGAGCAAGACAGCAAAATGTGTTTAAATATCTGTTCTGTAATTAAAATCCAAAGCTTCTTTGGTGCTCTTTTTCTGATTATTGTATTTTGGAGGAAACACACAATTAAAACACAGCTGAAAGCACTCCTTTCTCACAAGAATAACTGGAATGTTCTCAATTTATATATAGCCAAGAAGATTCATGGCTGTCTCTTGTGAAATTACCCATCTTTTGCTATGTCAGTCTAATGCCTCATCAATGCTTTGTTGCTGTTTGCAACCATGAAGACAGACACACAACCAATCCACTGAGAAAATCATAGAATCACAGAATCACTAAGGTTGGAAAAGACCTCCAAGATCATCTGGTCCAAGCATCACCCTACCACCAACATCACCCACTAAATCATGTCCCTAAGCATCATGTCCAACCTTTTCTTAAACACCCCCAGGGACAGTGACTCCACCACCTCCCTGGGCAGCCCATTCCAATGCCTGACTGCTCTTTCTGAGAAATCTCTCCTCATTTTCAACCTAAACCTCCCCTGGAAAAACTTGAGGCCATTCCTGCTAGTCCTATCACTAGTTACCTGCAAGAGGCCGACCCCCAGCTCCCCATGCCTTCCTTTCAGGCAGTTGCAGAAAGCAATAAGGTCGCCCCTGAGCCTCCCCTTCTCCAGACTAAACAACCCCAGTGCCCTCAGCTGCTCCTCACAGGACTTGTGCTCCAGGCCCTTCACCAACTTCATAGCCCTTCTCTGGACACGCTCCAGGGCCTCGATGTCCTTCCTGTAGTGACGGGCCCAAGCTGAACACAGCACTCGGGGTGTGGCCTCACTAGAGCAGAGTACAGGGGGATGATCACCTCCCTGGTCCTGCTGGACCATTAAAGATGATATTTGGTTATGCAAAAGGGAGAATAAATAAATTACTTTCTGTTCACATCTGTACATGCCCCTTTGTCAGGAGTTTCATGGAACAGTTACTTTCATTTACTTAATTTACATAAAGCTGATTAAAGCATTTATGGGTTGATTTTTGTGTGTATGTGTGTGTGTCAAAAAAAATTATAACTTGGACACTGATTATTGTTCATTAATCTACCTGAAAATATATGAATTCTTTAGTATATCTTATTTTTTCATGCAAAAATTAATATCTATAAACTAAAAACTTTAAATTAAATCTTGAAGATTTTACTTTGGAAATGTAATGTAATTCCCCAGTGTCTTTGGGGAATTGCCATTTGTATGTTTTATGTTGTTGCTCACTTTCTTCACCTCCAGAACACACCTACCTCCAAAACCACAGTTATATCTGCGACCTGATGCTAAACACTTGCTAAGTGCTCTGCAGTATTAAGGTACAACATAAAACCCAGCACAGACTTTGAAAAATAAATCAATCTATTTATCAGAAATTTTTCAGCTCGTGTTTTTGCAACCCAAGTATTTATTTATTTATTTATTTATTTATTTATTTATTTAACTGCATAAATAATAACAAAACATAGATGTCGTACGTTGTCAGTTTTTTAAAGCTGCTTTTGCGTGTAGACTCCACAAGGGGGTAGAAAACGCTTTCACACAATTTAGGCTGTGACACAAAGATCAAACTAAACAAATACAAGCAAATAACAACAACAAAAAAAAAAAGCCAGTGAATGTAACTATTCTGACCACAGTCAGGCACTGAAGCTAACAATTGCCAGTTGTTAAGTTGCAAACCATTTAAGAATAAAAATACAGCAATTATTTGAGTAAAAATCACCAAATTTGAAGATGTCTCTGAATGTTGCTGTTAGATGCCAAACAACAGGGAGGCTGAGTCTGGATTAGCTGGCCAGGATGCTTTTAAGACCTACATGTTCAACCTGGGATATTCCAGAGAGGGGGAGAACCACTGGGGTGCTCTCAGGTCAGGTTCACCACCTGGATGTAGGAGTTTGAACTCCTGAATGAATGAATGAGGCAATGTTCTCCCTTCTCCAAGGCAGTGTTATCTCTTATCTCTTGCTGGAATCATTCACATTAAAAAAAAAAAAAAAAAAAAAAAAAAAAGTCCTAAAGCTTCTGGTTACTGCCCTGAGGAGAGGAACACAGCCCGGATTTGATATAGACTACAATTCACGCTAAAACATGAAAAAATATATCAATTAGTGACCATGTATTTCATTAAAAAAATGTTTACCATGATATTTAAAGAGGGGAAAACTTGAAGAGACTGCAGTTTTTGCGTCTGAATATAAATGTGTACCATATTGAATTGACTGCAGTGAAAGTTGTAGCAAGAACCACAGACACTAGTTCTGTGCACCAGCAGACATGGTCTGAAAAAAACACTTGTTACTCTGCTGCCCTAGGTTTCATGCAAAACAGTGCTTTGTTTAGCACCAGGTATAGGACTACTGTAAAGTTCATGAGCAGGTGGAACAGCATGGCATCCTGCAAAGTCATCCAGGAACTAAGCCCAACCCTATGACAGATCTGCAAGATATTTTGGCCAGAAAAACTGCTCTGATAGGTCAGGTATAGCTGCAGCCTGAAAGTTGTGTAGGAAGGCTGACTAAGCAGATACTCCTTTAACATCCAAGGGCACACACTGGATGATACAAGGATATGACACACTGAAGTCTCCCAGATAACTGCAAGTCATTCTCTGAGGATTTTCAGTCTGGAAGAAAAGCTGTTGTAGAAGATGTATTGCAATGGGCTGACTGTGAATGATTTATACTATGTGTTAATTAAGTCATTTAATCATTACTTACAATGTCTCTGACTGCATCATATGTCACCAGCTAGGCATCTAATATGTAAGAGAATTTTCAGAAATGTTTTAATGTGGACCTGAAGACTTAATTAGACACCTAACTTTAACTTAAGACATTCCTGTTGAAGTAGCAGGAGGGATTCAAACTCACCTGCCAAATAGTTGAGTTCAGTGGTGATTATTGCTGGCAGCAAACATCATGAAGACACTTAAAAAGAGCCTGTAGTCGCCTTCAAGTCTAGTGTTACATCGCGTGTTTTGTGTCATGATTCATATTCATTCATATTAATTCAAGGAGGTGGTGGAGTCACCATCCCTGAGGATGTTTAAGGAAAGGTTGGATATGGTGCTTGGGGATGTGATTCAGTGGGTGACATTGGTGGTGGGAGGATGGTTGGACCAGATGAACTCGGAGGTCTTTTCCAACCTTATGACTCTATTCTATTCTATGATTCTGTATCTGAAGCATGACTTCACTGCTGGAAGGACATCAGGGACCTTCAATATTTGCTAGTTTTCATTGTGAACCTCTCATTGACTTCAGCCTGTGCTATGTGCAGGCATGCACTTCTATTTTTACACAAAGGGTGATTTGATGACAAAGAAGTTTGTCTAAAGAAGCCACATGCAGACATGACCTGGAACATCTGGCTATGACACCAGCTTTGTAATGTCCCCCATTGCCTGGCATGGAGCTCCCTCTCCCTGCCGACATCAGTACGCTGAGGACTTTCTATATTGTCCCTAAACACTGTGTATTTCATGGGGTTCAGCAGTAAGCTCCTGCTGATAGCATCCTAGATGGTACCCTGGCCAGTAAGTTATCATGTAAAATGTTTGCTCTACACTTTACCAGAGCTGCCCCAGAGCTGACCCTCAGGAAAGAACTGAAGGAGCAAAATAAGATTAAGATGAGTCTGGACAAGCCTGAATGTCAGCACTGGGCTGTGTTTAAGAGATGCAGCTTTCCAGAGCCATTGGCCATAAGCAAACTGGAGCTCAGCATCGTTATTCTCCCTGGGTACCACTCACAATGCCTCACTGTTTCATCCAGAGGTCTGCATTGCTCCCTGGACACCTGTCAAGCAATGACATGGGGCAGTTTCTTATCCAGCTTCTAGATGCCTCAGTTCTTTCTGGCACTAAGTCCTGCTCTGTTCCTGGCTCTAACTGTTCAGCTAGTTCACAGAGAGAGCGTTTGTATTATCTATAAAGCCTTGGGGGTTACATTTATTATTAGGAAAAGTTAGAGAGAGCCTTATGCACCACCCCAAATAAGACTGCGAGCTTCCATGTCCTTGCTGTCTCAAATGTTTCAAAGTGAGAGTGAAACTGGGCTTTTTCAGATCCAAACAGAATGTGTTCAGCAAAAAAAAAATAAATGAACAGCTATTGCCACTATGCTATACCAACACAGCTGAGATAAACCAACAAGTGATTAAACATGGGAGTGGCTTATTGGTAGTCCAACTATAATAAAAGTATAGTATGCACTGTATGCATTTTGTGAAAGGCACGTTGGAGGAAGTGTGCACAGTAAAGGGACTGCAGTAGCTGTGTTCAATAATGACAGCTCAGCCTACCTTGCTTGAAGCGTTTGTTTGATGTGAACTCTTGCAGTGAGTGACTCCTTACTGAATTCGGGGGGAGTTTAGAATGGCAAAGACCTTACTAGAAGCTCCAGTTCAGTGCTCATTTGCTGGAGGGGATATGAGGTGAGCTATAAGCAAGGATATTTTATAGCATCTGGAATCTGACATTAAAACTAAGAAAGCACAAGCATGTACATACAAGTGTGAGTAGCTCTCATTCCTGGGTACTGCACACACGGAGGATAAGGGCTGCAAACCTGATTCCACTGATTTCAGGGGAAAAGAGCAACTTTAAGCCAAAATTATACTGAAATTATATCTGCTTGGGAATAACAGCAGACTCTATACATCTATGTATTAACACCCAAATCACAAAAGGATGGCATATACTATCACCATATCAGTGTGAAATGTATTCAGTTTAGGAGATTATTGATGGTGAACCTCAAGAAAGATTTGCTGTATTCATACATAATTAGGTGAAGTATTGAGTTTATGGACTGTATACTTCCTGAAATAACAAAACCATGCATGAGGAGATTCAAGAACAACTTAACTTCTCAAACACTATAAAGGCAGTAAGAGTCAGCACAGGTGGTAAATAAATATCAAAATATAAAGAGTCTGATTTTATTAAGGAAATAGACATTGAGATAATTTTACAGTACTGTCTTGCAAAATTCAAATTTTATGTTTCAGACTGGTTACTGAACCATGAATACCCAGTAATCCACTGTTTCCTTTTCACCTTTAAACAGGCTGTCAGCTCTAGAATCTACTAGTGTGACTGCTCCTCAGCTACAAGTTTTGTTGTACGGAAGCGCGAGTTGAATATTTTGCCTGTTACAATATACTTAAACGCTTTCCGAAACCATGGATAGAAAAAGCCGTATATTAATGGATTGCAGAGAGAATTTAAATAACCAAGCCAGGTTAGAGCATCAAACAAAGATACAGGAGTAGAGAAGTTTAAAAATGGATCAATTAAGATTGCAAAAAAACAGGGAAACCAGCATATTAAGAAACCCAGCATAACTACACTCAAAGTCCTGGCAGCTTTCCTGTCTTTACTCTTAGAAAGCTCATTTTTCATATCACTTTTTGTGTGCTTGTGTGCTTGGCTCAACTCACATACGTGCTTTTGGGAGACTAAAAAAATTTTACAATAGATCCCTATCATAACACAAGCAGGAGCAAATAGACCAACTGTAAATAAAACAGCTCCCCACACTTTGTTGAACATGACAGGGCACAAGCTTGAGCATTTTACCAAATTTTCATAGCCCTCAATTCCAGAAGCATAAGCTTCTGAGAAAACAACACCAAAAGCAAAAGCTGCGGGTGCTGACCAGCACACTGCTATTATTTGTTTTATGGCATTCATGGTCATCAGATAGGCATAATGCAGAGGGTGGCAAATTGCATAAAAGCGATCCACAGCAATGGAACAAAGGTGGAAAATGGAAACTAAGCAGAGCATCAGGTCAAAACTGTAATGAACTTTGCAGAACGCCATCCCGAAATACCAGCAGTTCTCCACGGACCTCACCATGCTGTAGGGCATAATGGCAAAGCCCAGTAGGAAATCCGTGGCAGCCATGGATAGGATGAGAAAATTGGTCGGGGACTGAAGCTGTTTGAAATAGGAGATGGAAACAATTATGGCCAGATTCCCTGAGATGGTGAGCAGGAAGGCTGCAGTCATGAAGAGATACAATACCCCTCGTGCTCCAGGTGACCTGGAGCTGCCAGAACAGGACCTGTTCCCAAACTCAGAGCAATCAGTCAAATCTGTCGAGGTATTCACAGAAAGCATAATAAATCCTTGATCAGATTTTTCTGTTGGATATGCAGACATATACGTAGATACAATTTTCATGAGTTTCCAGAAGATTCCAAGTCCTAAACTGGAAGACAAGACAAAGTTAGTCAAGAGCATGAATTAAATTACTGAGGAAAATGCAATAATTCAGAGACATGCTTTCTCTTGGATTAAATAGAGATGAACTGCAACCCGTTGTTCTTCTGAAATAGGACATGACAACTGGAAGCTATTAAAAATTCATTGCAAATAACATTTAAAACAAGGCAGTTGAAAGTAAACTTAATTACATTTTAAATTAAATAAGCTACAGGATAACAACAATTTTACTTAATTCATTCTTTTGTATCTAGAGTATTTTGTAAAATATTGTGATTACATTATATATAGATGTTAATATCCATCATTTTAGAGAATTAGAAGGAAAAGATGCACAGACAAAAAATTCACTTCAAATTCACTTCAGTCTTCAAACACTGTACAGGAACTATTTGTCTATTCAGTCCTAGAGCACTGATGTTTTCTACAGGAGAAATGTTTTGCCAGCTCACATATCTCGGGTTTTGCAGAGGTTTCAGTTAGTGAGCTATACAATTAAATGTTCATCCTATGAGTCACAAATCAGCTGCCAAAACCCCATTTTCCAAATAACTTATGATGCAACATTTATCTTTTGTGGACCATAACATACTAGCAATGAACATATCTGGTAGAAATCAGTTTTAACGCATGTTTTGCATAATTATCATTCCACTAACCAAAAGGGTTCAATCTTGTCTCCTATAGTAGACTGTGGTCAAGCTGCAGTAGCTATAAATGAATACACTAGTGATTATTTTAGAGTAAAAATTTCACTTAATTTGTCTGCAGAGAACGAGATCCATTTCTTCCATGTCTATTCCTATTTTGGACTCAGAAGGAATCCATTCAGAAAGAACTGGGGAAGCATCTTAGTCCACTGAATTTTCCAACAGGTATCATCCTCAAATGAAGAAAATACAGAAACAGAGCATCAAAATATTAGAAATAATGCTTGTCAGTCAGTTTTATAGGCTAATCCTACCTGCATCCATTTTAGTAGTACCATCAATAGACATTTTAAGTAGACATTTTCCGGTTTTGTTACTGTCCAGCAACATTGCAGTATCTGTAAAAGGTAGACCCTCTTTAAAACTTTGCTCAGATTAATGATATGTGGAAAATTATTTTTCTTTTATGGCATTACACTTAATTCCCAGTAGTTTTTAAGTTAAAAAAAAAAAAGACATAAAAAAAAGCTGTATAATTTAGGGATTTACACAGACAGGAGATAAACAAAGTATCTGTATTCCCAAGACCATTATTTTTGTTTTCTGTATTAATCCCTTTACCCTCATGTATAATTTAGCTATTTTGGTGACTTGAGATAGCAATAAGTCATATCAGAAACAGTATTTGAAAAGAGAGGCTAAAGGTGGAGGTGAAGGGAAGATGCTATGTTTTTTCTTTATTGTAGCAGATGATGCATCCTAACTTGTTTTGAATAGTTACAACTTTTAATTAAATTTTGAAATTAAATATTTAATAAATATAAGATTATTATCTTTTAATTTAATGGGAAACAACAACACTTTCTCTCATGCTGGTTGTAGCCACAGCTTTTGTATGATGTACAAAAAACCTTCCCTATACTTCAGTGAACAATAAAGATGGATACAAATAAGTGTAATTTTGGAACAATCTGTCATGTGTTATTGGACAATCTATTATTTCTAAATAAATAAACAAATAAATAAACCACATGAAAGGTAGTATATAATTTCTTACAAGAAAAGACAAAATTAATTCACTATTGATATGAATAAATTGAGTCCTCTGAGATCAGAGGTGGATGGATATTCAGATATTAATGCTGACCCTTGTGCATATATAAGGAGATGCGTTATAAGTCCAAGTATAAATGCTATTCAGCATAGCAGAGGCTGTATTCTTATTGACTGAGAAATACAGTATGCCATGAAAACATTGCAGAAAATAATCATTGTTTTTAGAATTTAATATGGGAAATGTAAAAACCTTTAATGGAGTCTACCTTTATGGCAGTCATTTTAAAGGCAAATGAGGAAACCTTCTACCGGAAATAAAATACAAATCTCTACAGAAGAATAATTTATTGACTTAAAACAAACAAACAAACAAACAAAAACAACAGTAAAACTGTCATGGTGTACTACAGTAATATCCTTGAGATCTGTCAGCATTTTTGTGACAAGCATGCCTAGAAACTTTTTTTAACTAACGAAGTGAGAGATATACAAGTTTCACACAGAAACCTTAATTGAAAGAAGTGACTAAAATATAATAAACCTGTTCAGAAATCTGTGCAGACCAAATTATATTAGATTTCAAACAAAGAGATGTTGAAAGAGGCTACATGTCAAAAAGCATTACCTTCAGACAGCAGTGTCCCATGCAACTCCAATTAGTCCTCTTTTCAGCATGGTGCAGCACACAGTATTGAGCAGTTTGACACCTTTCAGAAATGAAATGTTTAACAACAGCTAACAAATTTACATGAACTGAAATCTTTATGAAAAAAGATCTACAACTGGGTTAAAGAAAGGCCACTGAAAAGACCTTAGAAATTGTCTTTCAGAATTAGTTACACCAGGTACTGCTGTACGGCAGTGTGGTGAGAAAGCTGTGTAGTCATTGTTTTGTTTGATTTTATTTATGGGGCTGTGTCAGGCTGGCGGGCGGTCACCAGTGGGGTCCCTCAAGGCTCCATTTTAGGGCCGGTACTTTTCAATATTTTTATAAACAATCTGGATGTAGGAATAGAAGGTATTTTGAGCAAGTTTGCTGATGACACCAAACTTGGAGGAGTTGTGGACTCGAATGAGGGTGGAAAGGCCTTGCAGAGGGATCTGGATAGGTTGGAGAGCTGGGCGATCGCCAACCGCATGAAGTTCAATAAGAGCAAGTGCCAGGTCCTGCACCTGGGACGGGGAAACCCTGGCTGCACGTACAGACTGGGCGATGAGACGCTGGAGAGCAGCCTAGAAGAGAGGGATCTGGGGGTCGTGGTAGACAGCAAGTTGAATATGAGCCAGCAGTGTGCCCTGGCAGCCAGGAGGGCCAACCGTGTCCTGGGGTGCATCAAGCACGGCATCGCTAGTAGGTCGAGGGAGGTGATTGTCCCGCTCTACTCTGCGCTGATGCGGCCTCACCTCGAGTACTGTGTGCAGTTCTGGGCACCACAGTATAAAAAGGACATGAAACTGTTGGAGAGTGTCCAGAGGAGGGCTACGAAGACGGTGAAAGGCCTGGAGGGGAAGACGTACGAGGAACGGCTGAGGGCACTGGGCCTGTTCAGCCTGGAGAAGAGGAGGCTGAGGGGAGACCTCATCGCAGTCTACAACTTCCTCATAAGGGGGTGTCGAGAGGCAGGAGACCTTTTCTCCAATAACACCAGCGACAGGACCCGCGGGAATGGGGTTAAGCTGAGGCAGGGGAAATTTAGGCTTGACATCAGGAGGGGGTTCTTCACAGAGAGGGTGGTTGCACACTGGAACAGGCTCCCCAGGGAAGTGGTCACTGCACCGAGCCTGTCTGAATTTAAGAAGAGATTGGACTGTGCACTTAGTCACGTGGTCTGAACTTTTGGGTAGACCTGTGCGGTGTCAAGAGTTGGACTTGATGATCCTTAAGGGTCCCTTCCAACTCAGGATATTCTATGATTCTATGATTTATTTTGTTTGGTTTTATTACAGCCCATGTGTTTACTTTGTGTTGTGCTTTGTTATTTCCATGTTGTTCGTAAGTATTGGTTGGAGAGAACTATTTGATTACTAACATGAAATATAGTTCCAATAATGCATTGTGAAGATGAATCTCTTTTGTTCCCCTGAAGTGGCTTCAGTTAAACATAAAGAATGTCCAAACTTTCTCAAATAATTGTTTACTACTGTTGCTAACACAGGAAGTCCAAAGAATATAAGTCACACAACACCCTGTTTTCAGTGATCTCTTTTTAACTAACAGAGATATCTTTTGGTCAGTATGCTGTGATTGTAATGCTTAGGGAGACTAACTTTCCCTATAACTATGGGAAATAAAAAGACTGGACATCTAGGAGTGGGTTGTAGATTTCCCATTTAACTGTGGATTGCGTGTCTTAGGAAATTAATTTGTTTTACAAAGGCTATTGCATGGACATCACAGAAGTATTTTCAGTTACCTATATGCTATGTTGGATTTAATGCAGCAACATGAAGGTGAAAGATCTTTTTCTTTAAAAAAAAAAATACAATGAAGGAAATTTATTTCTGTTGGAAAAATCTAGTTATGTGGGACTAAATAACACTACACAAAACTTAGTAAATACTCTATTTACTAAATATTCTATTCAACTTAATAGAATCACAGGACTGCAGAATGGTCAGCATTGGAAGGGATCTCTGAAGGTCATCTTGTCTAACTGCCCTGCTCAAGCAGTGCCACCTATATAGCCTGTTGACCAGGACTATGTTCAGATGGATTTTGAATATCTCCAAGGATAAATTTGCAATAAATATTCTCCCCTACCTCTCTGGGAATTCTGTGCCAATGCTTAGTCATCCTCACAGCTAAAAAGCATTTCCTGATGTTCAGATGGAACTTCCTGTGTTTCAGTTTGTGCCTATTGCCTCCTGCTTCAGTCCCTTAGTGATTTTCATGGCCCTTCATTGGACTTTCTCCAGTATGTCCACATCTGTCTTTTACAGAGGATTCCAATACTGGACCCAGGTGTGTCTTCACCAGTGCCCAGTACAAGGGAAGGATCACCACCCATCACCTGTTGGCAATACTTTGCCTAATGCAGTCCAGCATACCAATGGCCTTCTTCGTGTCAAGGGCATACTTGTAGCTCATATTCAACTTGGTGTCTGCCAGGACACCCAGAACCTTTTCTCTCAGGCTCCTTTTCAGCTTGATTTCTCCCAACGTGTGCTGGTGGCAGGGGTTGTTCCTCCCCAGGTACAGGACTTTGCATTTCTTCCTTGTTGAAATGTATGAGGTTCCTGTCAGCCTACTTCTCCAGACTGTGAAGGTCCCTCTGGATGGCAACGTGACCCCTCTTCTATCAACAATTCCTCATAGTTTTGCATCATCTGCCAACTTGCTGGGGATATGCTCTAGCCCATCATCCAGATCATTTATGAAGATGTGAAAGAGGACTGGGCCCAATATTGATCCCAGGTGTAGCCTTTGCACCACTGATCACCACCCTTTGGGCTTGGCCATTCCCCCAGTTTTCAATCTGCTCTTTCAGTCAACTCAGTCTGCTCCTCCAGTCCATATCTCTGCAGCTTGTCTATGAGGAACTAATGAGAGACAGTGTCAAAAACCTTACTGAAATCAAGGTAGCCAATATCTAGTGTTCTTCCCTCATCTACCAGGCTAGTCACTTAATCATAGAAGGTTATCAAATCTAGGCTATGTCTAATGAAAACAAACTAGTCCAAAAGTGCTAAGAGATGGGCATAGTAATTTTCTGAATTAGGTCTTTAGATGATGCAGTTACACTGAAGTCTGTAGATAACTAAGATGATCAGAAAAAATATGTAAATAAAAGCCTTTCATAGAATACTAAGTATCTTGTGTTTGACTACCTAGCGTTTTCTGCTCCTCTCTTCTTTGTTGAATGAGTATTAAAATAATGTACAGGAGGAAAGAGAGTACAGTCTGTACAGCTTAGAGAAGTTATTGATCTAAGAAAAGCCATACACTTTACAATATTTACACAGTTTGAGAGCTCATTCTTTCTGTTTGAACACTGCACTAATGTACTTTTTTATCTAGCTGTTTAAAATACTCCATTTTAGAACAATGGTTGCCTTGTGAGGTTTCTGGAAGGGTTCTTCTGAGACAGTCAGTGCTCATCCTCTTGCCCTGTGCTACTGAATCTGGTGACCAAGGGGGAGTCCATGATGCTCAGCTGGAGGCCATATGTATGAGGCCATAGCAGGGGACAGGTGGTCATCTGTGAGTCCTAAACTAGCTGCAAGAAACCTGTCAGTTTTGTTTGAAGCATGAGAGCAGGTGACGTAAATCTGATGTATTTATTGGTTACAAAATGAGTAGGCATAGGTTTACCAACAAAACAGATCCTTTCGTAATGTTGGAATAATTGCTTTGCATAAGTTTTCAGGGAAGTTGAAACATATAAAATCACCCACTGGAGATTCATTTGTTTTGAAAAAAGTAGCCATCTGGGAAGTGTTTAATAAGGTAACTAATTAAATGGGTTGATAAGGAATTTAACAATACCCTTTGCACTTCATTTATGTGATGACTCTTTGAGATTGCAGTTAGGTACATTCTACATCACTAGATCTAATCCATGATCTGATTGGACAACAGTAAGAGGCATTTCTCTTCTGCTCTCCTAATTTATGAAAATCTCAGGTTCGAATAGAGACCCTATGGCCTCATTAACACCTCTCATTTGTATGTCCCCTTCACAGTGAGAAATAACTTTGTGTTGCCTATGATTAGAGCTAATGAGAGAAAGTAACCTGGGACTTCATTAAAGTTGCTCTGCCAGAGAAGACACTCTGTAAACAGAAGGCAAGGAAGCTTTTTGGGAAAATGCCACCTCCAGGTAATAAGACACCAGAGAAAAAAATGTTCTTAAACTTTGTGACTTGAAAAATTTTCTTAAACAGTGACTTGAATAAGTTGCTGAGATAAAACAAGTTCTTTTCTACAATGAGTACAAAGAGAGATACAAATGACTAAAGCAGATGTAGTGCTTCTTAGATGCCTACAATTTAGGTTAGATGACTATCAGTCTTCAGGAGTTTGGGACAATCATTTAGAAAGAAGAAGCAAATGCTTACCAATGAAAGGTGAGATAATCAGATGGGATCGTGTTTTTGACAGTTACAGGTTCTGAGGGGTAACATTTCTGCTGTCTCGAGCAGAGGAGGGTATTTATAAACCTATTAGAAAAACCTATTAGAGATGACAACATTCTACATCAAAAAAACAAAACAAAACAAAAAAAAACCATGCCATATAACATGGCATAAAAGGAAAAGCTGGGAAAAGGTGCTAAATGCGGTTGCATTTGCAAGAGCTGTAAATACCAGACTGAAAAAGTTAATAGTTGTAACATTTTGGAAAAGACTACTCTGCTTTTGAGTTCAAAGTCTTTCAACATAAACACAATTTTCTTATTAAAGTGCATTCAGTTCATGATCAAAGGGCAAAAGTATTTGAGGAATATCTCGAAGATACATTCCAGGCAGTGGAAATGTTCTCAGCAGAGTACAAAATTCAGCTCAATCTGACTGCTCATCATTTACACCCAAGAAAGTTTATGTTCAACCATAGCAGATCTTAAAAGTGTAATGACATAGGGTTATTTTTCTGTGGTTGTTTTTCTCTTTTTCAGAAGTAGGTGAATTAGCAGTCAGGCCAACAGTAGCCTGAACTGGGTGCTTCAGGAGCACAGTACGAATATGGTGAGAGTGCAGTTCTCAATTTCTGCAATTCTCTCTGAGCCTCCAGCTGTACCAGAACTGCATGGGCCAGATGGACTGGAGCAATCAAAAGGAGTTCAACATGACTTGATGCTCTCATCTGTTGCTACTCAAGGAAAATATGACTTTCCACCCCTGTGCCCACAAGCAACAAAAATCTTGTCTCTGGTGTTACACAGTGATGTCTTTTTATGCCAGGCATATAGTGGATGAAAGGAAAGAAAAAAAAAAAAAAAAAAAAGCAATATCTCCTTTAACTTCTTGAAGGGTCTATGTTAACATATGCTGAATGTATTAAATACACTTTAAAAGCCTCAGGTGAGCAACACTCCTTTTAGGGAAATTCCTTCAATCTATAACACCATCAGAAAATGGGAGATATCACCTGGCAGCAGCCGTGAAACTGCTCTTTCAAGAGAGATCTAGATATTCTAGTGATCACACAATTCACTTCAGAAACTAACACTGAACATTAGAAAATGAACTGCATCAGACAAAACTCACCAGGGATGAGGAAAAAGACAACTATCCATTAATTTATTGGAAAATTTATTGGAAAGGTAGAGGTTTTTTTTGTTGTTTGTTTGTTTGTTTCTTTAATCTTTTTTTTATTGTTCTGTGATAAAGAATTAAAGTGGTCATATTGTCACTACCAAGGATTATCTTCCACAGTACAAAAGCTGAGGTGTTGCATATTTCAGTCATTGTTCATTTTTATGTCATTATAGAGTGCAAACTTACAAGATGACAGCGTAAAGGAGACAATTTCAGATACTGATATTTTGCTCTGCTGAAATGTAGTATCATTGAACTTTTATGCTCTACAGTGCAGAATGCTTCAGAGCTCTACAGAACACAAAAAAGAAAGACAAGATACATGTACAGCGTGCACATATCCCAGCAAAATGAATGGAGGACACCATTTACCACTGAACATAGCTTTTCCTTCAATACCAAGTCATCAGCTTCACCATAGCCTCTTCTCAGATACCAACATTTTACTGTCCATTCCCAAAACTAGTCCTCCATACTCCAACCAGATGGCATAGGACCAGGCCAGAGGTATTACCTCCTTCTGTTTGGTGATATGTTAATTCTAGCAAAGCCAGTTAAGAGATTAAAAAATTGACAGCCTGTCGGCCTTCTTCAGCTGGTAACCATGTGCTAGCTTTTGACTTCCTCATCTCTCCTTTCTGTCCCAATCTGGGTGTCCAGAAAGGCTGCACACAGATGTAATCTTGACAGCCTGCTCACCCAGGCTCCATGACACCGAGCCATCCCTATGATCCTTTTTCTGCCACTCCTCCTGGTGCTTCCATGTCCATCTTGCCCCACTCACCATACGATCAGGCAAGCCATAGAATTTCTATATCAATTCTTTATATAGATGCCTCACTGGCTGTCACAGCACTGCTGTAAGCCAAAATATCAATATATCCAAGCTATATAAAGTTCTGAAGGATGTAAATGTGTGAATATTTTACATCAAAATTTTAATTACAAAAGTATAATTTTCTGGCATTGTCAGATTCAGCGTTGATTTTCACTACTGCTTTTTATTCCTTTATTGCGTTTTCCACAATATCTTTGATCTTATTAAAGATGCTTTTGACCTCATTAAGCAGGAAAGCCTTTAAATGACAAAAGTGACAAGCACTAGTTGAAATAGAAAGAGAAGGAGCAGCATGACTTCTCTTTTTCCCATCTTCCCTCTGTGTAGCATACTGGCATAACTGTACCTTGGCCTGTTTTGACTTCTGCATGCATACTGAAGTGGAGGGACAAAACTTAAAAGCTTTGGGTTTTTACTCAAAGATGTCTGTATATTCAAAATGAAAGGCTTTTCTGATCTTGTCAGAGGACAGCAAATAACCAGAAATACATATTTTTAAAAATATGGCCTGTTGTATCAGAAGCACTTCTTAATGATTAAAAACAGTTAATAAGCTGCTGTGGGTATTTTTTTTTTTAACCTAGGTTTTGCTTTCCTCTGCAAGGCATATAAATAGCTATAGCAAAACACTATAACTCCCAGTCTTGAATGAAAGAATAAAACATAATAGTTTCTTATCTGCTTGACCAAATTTGATAAGTTACCAAGCAAATAGGAGTTTCCTCTGTCATTTTCAGCTCTTCTTTCCTGGAGGTCAGCCTCTAGACAAGATCTCAAAGCCAGAAACCCAACCATTTAAAGGATGTCACTCTAAAAATAATTGAATCCTTGAAGAGTCCCTTTGAAAAATGTTTCCAAAAAGAATAATCTTTAATGCTTTGCGAAACCACATGTAAAAAAATGCATAAACAATTGGATTAAATGCAGAATTTAAATAACCAAACCAAACCAAAGCATCAATGAGAATAGGAGGAGCCATATAATTCATAAATGGATCAGTTGCTGTAAGGAAGAAGAATGGGCTCCAGCATATAAAAAATACTCCCATTATTATACATAATGTCCTTGCAGCTTTCCTTTCTCTGCAGCATGAAATGTGGTGCTTCATTTCACATCTCTTCTTTTGGCTAATTGCTTCAATGGATCTTGCATGCCTCTTGGCTATAGAGTATATCTTCCTATAGACATACAGCATAACAAATCCAGGGATGTAAAAAGACACTACGGAGGCCACAACACCTGAAGTTTCACTAAAGAAGAGAAAGCATCCTCCTGCACAATGGATGTGATTATAAATCTCTTCTGCTCCTAGCAGATTTAGTTCTAGAAAGATCATCCCAAAAGCAAAACCAGCAGGGACAGTCCAACTTATGAATATCATGACCAGGATAACAAAAGTATTTATCTTTGATTTGTATCTTAGAGGGTCACACACAGCATAGTAACGATCAATGGATATGAAAGAAAGATGGAAGATGGAAGCTGTGCTCAGCATAATGTCCATGCTTGTGTGGATCTTGCAGAAGAAGTCGCCAAAATACCAGCAGTGCTCAACAGAGCGCACCATGCTGCAAGGCATGACGAGGAATCCCAGCAAAAAGTCAGCTGTGGCCATGGAAAGTATCAAGAAGTTGGTAGGCGTGTGGAGCTGCTTAAAATGTGATATTGAGATGATAACCATAAGATTTCCAAACACTGTGGCCAGAATAATGCAAACCATGAAGATATACATGGAAATGCGGATACTGTTTGACCAGCTGCTCTTTATGCAAGAGCCATTTACAGATTCACAACACAGTTGCATCCTTACTGAGGTACCAAATCCATGCAGCGATAGGGCACAGCTTATATGGCACGTCTTAATGCTGAGGGACGTTTACAGCCATTTTTTCGTTTCTTTGTGAGAGAAGCTGAAGGAAGAAAAAAAAAAAAGCAATCATAAACACCTTCATCTAGTTGAATGTGTAGAAAATTCACATTTCATTACTTATGAAAGATGAAATTATTTTGCAATTATAAATTTAATAGAATGAGACTTTTATCATAAGATTTCCCTTGAAGCACATATCTCATTTGATAAAATAAAATGTATAATTGGGTGTCCTCACACCTGAATAACAGTGGGTCCCATTGCACTGGGCAATGTATTGGGTTTTCCTGGCAAAGTTTAGGTAGCAGGTGGGCTTCAGGGGTGGCCTCTGTGAGCAGAGCCCAGCAGCTGCCCCATGTCAAATCAGAGCCAGCTCCAGCTGGCTCCAAAAGGGACCTGCTGCTGGCCAGAGCCAAGCCAGGGAGTGACGCTAGTTGGGCCTCTTTGAGAGCAGATTTAAGAAAGGGAAAAAACTGCTGTGCAACAGTAGCTGGGAGAGGGAAAAAACTGCTGTGCATGCACAGGGCTGGTGAGCACTGAGTACCTGGTAGTGGAAATGGGTTAGCCTTGGTCTTAGAGGCACAAAATACATGTAAATGCCTGGCCACAAATATTGAGATGAGAATCCTTTTGAGGACATCTGATGAAAATGTGTGTTTGTGTAAAACCAGAGGGACATCTTTCTGCTGTACAGGCCTGATGCAGTCTGATTTCCGAGAGGGTAGCCCACATTCGCAGGGGAGACCACTGCCCAGTGAACAGCAAACATGCTCAGCACAGCCTCAGGAACGAAGTGAGAAGTTATACATCAGCATTAACCTCACAGCTTGGGCACAGGACAGACATGGGCACCTCTCAGCTGCCTTCCTGGCATGGCAGGGAGACCTCTGCTGCATCGAGGCTCCATCAGGCCCTCAGAAGACCCCAGGGCACAGGCCTGGGCCCTCCCTACAGCCTGTTCTGGGCTGCTTGGCCTGAGTGTGTGGCAGTCTCCATTCCCGCAGGCTGGCAGCCTCTCCTCCAGACCTGTCCCGACAGAGGGGGCTGAACCTGTTGTACACCTGGCAAAATCAAAATGTTTCCATGAACCCCTCATTTTCAGGCAGATGGCACTGCTTGGCCAGATCAAGTCTTACTGTAAACTCCTGTAGGCTTGAGCTGTGAGTTGGCATGTAGGGAAAAAAAATGTATGAGGAGAAATAAAGTTTTCTGATCTTACACTGCAGAAATGTAATGGAAGAGCCTGACTACTCTGAAGCCCTAAATGCCATTTACGTAAACATCTTTAATGTCAGGCTCTAGTTTATTTCAGCAGTAGTAGTTTAGCATTGTTATGTGTAATTATTTTGTTGATACTGCTTTGGAGAAGGACAGACATGGAGAGAAATATTTGCTGAACATTGCTTTAGTCTGCTTCATTATTTGCTTATTTAGGATGCAAATATTGCTGTCCTTCTCTTGTGAGTGCAGTAATTTGACTATTTTGCTAGTCTCTCTCTTTTTTTTTTTTTTTCCAAAAGCATTTCATGAAAGTATTCAAGCATTTGGCAATGAACATTCATTCTGGTTTTCCTTTAATTAATAGAAAAATAATATTATCATGAAAAAGAGATCATCACCATATGCTACTCAGTATCAATATGATATAACGTGACTGTTTAAGTCAGAAAAATACTGACACAGCAATTCAACCACTTAACCCATTTGCTTTGGGCTTTGATGCCTGTGTTTCTTTTGGACAGAACATAACAGAATAAAGTATGTTTTCCCCTGTTGAAACAAATTTTCTTACAAGCACATTGTGCTGTTAAAGCTAACTAGAAGTCAAATGCAGATGATAAACTATAGCTTGCAGACCCCTGACAGCTACCATGAACAGCCTGTGTTATACAGACAGGCTTTCTATTGCTAGACATTGGCTGTCTCATTTTAGGTGGTGGCACCCAAGCACCAGGGATGCAGTGTACCCAGGAGGTACCTTCAGGAATACAGGACAGATGGAATCTGAGTGTGTACATTTACTGTTTGGTGTGCATCTTGCTTTCTCTTTTTCTGCTTGCTAATTATTTAAAACAATCTTTGTTCTTTTACACTTTTCTGTAAATATCAGATTTTGCATATTTTTCCTTCACCTTTAGTCAGTATTTTCATACTACCTATTATTCCTTCTTTTGGCATATTTCCACCCAAAATAGAGAAAGCACAGCCAGCTGGATTTTTATTAACGCAAAATTTCACAACAGAAAATATTAAATGACAATTTAACTATATACTGTACAGAATTAAAAAAAAAAAAAAAAAAGAAAAAAAAAAGAAGAAGAAAAAAGTTTAAGTTCATTTAGATTGGAAATGTGTCACATAGATTTTTACCTTCATTTTATGTGTAAAGAAACTAAACAAATATGGTAAAATGGGATATGAAGCCAAACAAAAAGAATTAAGGTGTTACTTCTAGTTTCCTCTTCAACTTTTTGTTGTCTCTGTTTTCTTATGTTCTCTGACAGTGCAAATGTTTAGCCTAAATGAATATGATTTCCCATGGAAAAAAAAAAAATCTTAAAAAAAAAAACAAAACACTTATTTTCAGGGGATTTTTTGCTGTAGTTGTTGCTTCTAAACTGAAAGAAGAAACTCCATCCAAAAAAGGAGTGAGGGAAAAAAAAAAAAGAGAGAGAAAATTAAAAAAAAGAACAAATTGTGCGATTCTGCTCAAGTGTGTTTTGCATGACAACAGAACCAAAATAAATCTAAATTCCTGTGGCAAACTGTCCAAATGGGCTGAAGAAGTTTTCAACAAGAAAGTAGGATACTTCCCTTAATTACAATGAGCAGTTGGCTTAAAATATGATACAATATGAAGCACCCTTTAAAAAAACTGCTGTCCTACCTTTCTCTCCTGATGCTGGGTGGAAGTCTGCTCTTGGTGCTCATTTGTTTTCTGCTCATTCAGTGGCATCTTTCCTTTTAAAGATGCTCTCAAAAGGCAGCTGAGGCTCCTCATCATCATAACTGTTCTGGTAGCATACATTTTGAGAGCATACAATCCAGAACAGCCTCCCAGAGCTCCCAGAATACTGCTTAGGATATTGGGTGTAATGAATGGCACTCTTGACCCATTGTCTCAGAAGCAGCTGTTAATAGTAGCTCATACTCTATATTTTGTCATCTACTCATCTTTGTTTAACAGACCTTATTTATAGGTACATTTAATTCATCTGAAGTACGTTTACTTGTTTAATTAAACATTGTGGTCACTTTGTGAGCAGTCCAAGATTACCTAGGAGCAGAACAAAAACTGTCATGTAGTCTTTCTTCTGTAAGCTTTGGTAGTTAATAGCAATATGTAACGTTTCCCTTGAAATACTGTGTACAAATTGACATGATGTGTATTTGTCAGCCTAATTCTGCTTACTCTACTGAACAAATAAGTTTAATATAACAGGCTAATCAGTTAACAGCTATGTGCAAAATACAGCTACTGAAAAGGTGTTTAAAGTAAACAGCTATTATTGACTGTACTGGAGTCACTGATGAGGATCATTCTTTTCATGCTGCACAAAGGACAACGCAGACCTTTGTAACAACGATGCTGCTGGACATCACAGACTATTAATATGGTGATCATCACCTAAAGCCCACCCATTCAGGGACATATACAACAATGTAGATTAAGATTATGCTTCTTGCCAACTATGGTTCATGACCTGGTTTAGCTGCTTCATCATATAGGCTGCCCAGGGAAGTGGTGGAGTCACCATCCCTGGAGGTCTTTAAAAGACGTTTAGATGTAGAGCTTAGGGATATGGTTTAGTGGAGGACTTGTTAGTGTTAGGTCAGAGGTTGGACTAGGTGATCTTGGAGGTCTCTTCCAACCTAAATGATTCCATGATTCTATGATCATATTATGTGCACAAAAATTCAAGCCTATTCAAAAAACTCAGTTCCTTTATTTTTCTTGAAGACTGGGGTGTTACAATGCAAGGTTCTCCTTGCAATGGGAAGAGAGTTTGCCAACTAAAAAAAAAGTGTAAAAAACTTTCCAGATGAGTGAGAAATCATTTGAGACAGTCAACAGGATAGAGACAGCACAGATCCGATTGCTTAGAGATGGAGAAATGTCAAAGAGATTATAGGCACCCTAATGCTTGTCTCTGAGAGGAGCCTTCACCCTTTCGAAATTCATGCCTGTGAGCCTTCCTTGGAGCCAGGCATTTTTCTTTGAGGACTGAATTTTTGAGGACTGAATTTTTGAGGATTTTGAGGACTTGGTAATTACCATCTAGACAAACACATTTTATAGGAAGGTAAAATTTAGGGGAACAGGGTGACATTGCCTCAGTTTGTACCAAACTCATAATTATGAAGAGATCTGATGGCCAGCTCGCTATAGGGACTTAGTCAAAGGACATACATGGATGCAAGCACACACTGCTCTCTTGCCATGCTTCTCCTTTGAGAAGTATTGTGGCCAAATCTCAAGGGGCTGATCTGGAAAAGTAGCTCTCCTTGATGTGCTTTCAAGAAGAGCTTTCATGTGTTTCGGAAGCAGCAATTAGCCAAATCCCTACATCCTCTGGGATCCCACTGCCACCACAATCAGGGCAGACAATCTGGAAAGCGTATCTATGCTCTGAGCAGCTCTGCTCCTTCAGCTAGCATCCATCTAGGAAAACTGTGCTTGTTTGTTTGTTTGCGTGTTTGTTTTTGTTTGTTTGTTTTGTTTTTCTGCCTTTTTTCACAGTCAGATTTTTAGTCTGGCTAGTGGGTGCTTTTCTCCAGTTTCTGACTTACTATCCATTCTTCCTCTTACATGTGACATTTCTCCAGTAAGCGACTTGATTTTTTTTAAACTTGCTCAGGACTGTGGAAAGGTTAGGAGTTCTAAGGCAGATGAATAAAATGAGGAGGAAGAGCTCAAAACCTGATAAAGATGATATGTTGTAGGGTTATTATATTCATCAGATAGCTTTATGACAGTCATTTCTTGTTTGCCTGTGCTGTGCATCTTTGGAATATGCTGGTGGAGGGGAAGTTCAAACAACAAATCTGAGAGCAGCCATTTTGAGTGTAGAACCCCTGGGGAAAGCCACGTTTGCTCTCTAGCTATAGCTATCAGTAATGTTTACGTAGTTTATATAGTTTAAAATACTTAAATGTATTTTGAAAAGAAAATGGAGAGAAAGTAGAAAGGTCATAGTACAGGTGTTTGTTGTTGTTGGTGGTGGCGGTTTTTTTTGTTTGTTTGTTTGTTTGTTTTTTCCCTGACATGAGTGTAGCTGGGCTCTCACCTCGACTTCACCCTACAGAAGAAAGGACAGATCCTCCAGGGCCTCCCATGGCCAGCCTTCTGCTTCTACCAAAATCTCAGTTGGCTAAGGGAGAAGGAGAAAGCTGCAAGTATGGGCAGGGGTGGTGTGTAATAGTGAAATGTTTAGTGAAATGAACGTAGCAGCTTCTAAGATGCCAAGATAATTAAGTATTTAAGAATGTCAAATTGACAACTAATTTAGAGCAACAAAGAAATGCTGGTAACGAGTACTAATATTATAGGTGCAACTGCTTCATATAGGCATTTTGTTGCTGCTTAATACTGATGTGGATCAAAATATTCTCAGACTTCCAGTTTATAGTATCATAGAGATATATATCAAGCTCTATATTTGCATCCACAGAACACTTATGAATAGTCACCATTCAACAGTCTTTTGGGTCTGTAATATTATAGTAAAACAGTTATACATCAAAATTCAAAATGAAGACTTGTCTACAAAATCATTGCTGTGGCTTTCTTTTTTTTTTTTTCAAGATTTACATTTTTGTAATAATTAGTTTGCAGATTCTTGGATACAGAGAAAAACAAGAAAAAGAGATGTTTTCACATAGCCTATCATACATGGGTTATCTACATTAAAATAAAATAAAAATAAAAAATAAGTATATGATTATTAAAACAGAAAAGACAGGGAAAAAAAAAAAAAAAAATCCCAGGGAATGGAAATAGTACTTTTGCCAGATCTCAAACTCATCTAAACTTGTTCAGAAATGGTTCTGTCCTTCTTTGGGAAGAATTTTGGCAAGAATGTGGAAAGGACAGCAGAAATAGGAAGGAGCAGAATGCATCTAAGGAGTGAGAACAGTCCCCATGGAGGAAAACAAATATATATATATATATAAAAGCTGGACAGCAGTGATTTCAGCTGAGGGTCTTGTTTACATTTATTTGGGCATGGTTTGGTCATTTGGCAGAAAATGTTGATTTGCAGTATCCATTAGACAGAGGAAAGTTTCTCATTTTCATATTGTTCGTTTTAAAAACTGGATCTCTCCAAGGAATTTAAAATTACTATCTGAGATGGCCCCATGGTTGAAGAGGAATTTTTAAAGTATGTAACTCCACTCACCATTTATGCAGTCCTCAGAAAATAAAAAGCACATCATTACAAGAAGTTATCTTCTTAAGTTTCCATTTGTACATTTGAAATCTGGGTAAAATGCACAAATTGCCAGTAAGCCATTAATTCAAAATAAATATTTAATTATATGGATTAAATGGGAAGATGTACCAACTACTGAGCTGAACATTATTGCTGCAAACCTGGTGTAATTCTGGACAATCTGAAGTTAGACCAGATTTATAACAGGGAAATTTAAAGAACAGATGAGTTGATCGACCTCTAGATCTTTTTCCATTGTTTATATTCTTACTTTTCAGTGCAAAACATTACTTTTCCTTGCCAAGTAGAAATAGCTGTTTATACAGAGAAACATGATGTTTATGCAGTTTCTTAAAGTATATTTTTTAGGCTCAACCCCCAAAATGAGATAAATGCAACTCTGAAATGCACAGAGAAGTAAGAGATTCTAGCAAGAAAAAAAATAATGTTTCTACAGCAACACAAAACACATCTGTCCAAACCCAAGAAACTCACTCTGCACAGGGAGGGTTGTAAATTTTTTATAGCCCTGCTATTAGCAGAAGATACTGCCCCTGACACCAGCACCAGGAAGCTCCCTGGAGGGCAGGAGCAGCCCTTTGGTGCTCTCTCCAGGAGGTCTGGCAAGTACCCCGAGCCGTGGTGCCAAAGCAAGTCAGGTTCTCTGTGCCTTTCTGCTGTCCCCATGCACCCACCAGTCCCAAAGCAGCACACTCAGGACCGTGGCCAGTTTGTAGGCATTTTGGTGGCCTCCAAACACCAATGTGAAGGCAAAATGTTTTTGCCTTCCAATGTGAAGGCAAAAATGGAGGAGGGAGGCAGCGAGCAGCAAGCACATAGGATCCCAGCTAGGTCACTCCACATCCTCATGGAATAGCTCCACAGAAAGTGAAGAGCATTGCTCCTCATTCGTAGCTGTGCCTGAAAAGAGGTTTGCCCTCTAGCTATGTTCCTCTTTGAGGTATTGGGAATTAACAGCTTTTAAAATGATCCTCTGAGCCACTTCCAAAGTCTTACTACTGTTGATGCTGTTGCTGCTCAGTGCAGAAAGAATCGTAAGTGCTAGCCACGGAAAATTCATCACCGATAATAATAATATTAATAATAATTTCCTAAACTAGCATATTAGCATCTATCTGTATGTGAGAAGGTAAGACCGTACCTGCTCAGGAGCTATTTCCTCATCACGAACCGGCGCAACCTGCGGATACAGCACAATAGTGACTCATCCCACACGGAGCCCACAGCTTGGCAGCTGCCTACTTTAGTCTGACTCTGGATTAGAGCCCGCTGGAAACATCTCAGCAACAGAATGACGTAGGTATTAAATATTCAGAAAAGATAAGCAGACAATAAATCTGTTCTGTCACAAGCCGGTTGCATATGCAAAGATGAATGAATCTGAAATAAGTTAAAGCCAGGCTCATGGAAAGAAGCATACAAAAGAAAAATGCATGTTTATTATGGTTAAAGTCTAGATGGAGCTAACAGCACTGAACTGTTGCTACTAAGATAGCCTCATGGTTTCTACCTCAGGGCTCTACTTTCAATTTTGTTAGACTTTGACAAGCTTTAGCAATTTGAGTTATTTTAGAAAATTTGATGTGTCTATCCAAGACTTTCAAAGAAATCCAACCACAGTACTTCAACAGTATCTGCGAACAAGACAGATTTAAAAAAGAAAAAAAGGGAAAAAAAAAAAGAAAAAAAAAAGATATTGTTTCTTCTTGATTAAAAAAAATCTGCTTATCTTCTATGTACAATGCCCTGCTGTTTACAATGCCCTTTACAGCAGGGCCTTAAAAGGTGTTGATTCCCTATTTATACCTTTTTCCATCTCAGAGGAACTATACCTAAATATGGCCAAATTGTAAATCAGCAGCAGTCAAACCACAACTTGTTTGTTTCTAAAGCACAGCTCATTTACCATCATGAGTAAACTCTGAGGTTTCTCTGAGCCCTGAGCATGATGTGTGTGGCTCTGGTCACAGCGTCTCCCTGGGGACTTGGTGTTGGGGCAGGTTAGGGAGATAAGAAAGCATGAGCCTGGCAAGGCAGCACAGGGGACATGGAACTGAACAGGAGGGACAACTCTTGGTGAAAGGAAGGTCTTGGAAGGTCACGTTTTGGTTTGGAGGGGTGGCTGCTCTATAGGAAGCCATTGAAAAATAAAATGGTCCACAAAGGCTTATATGTCAATAAGCAATCTCCTGTTGCTTACAGGACTCACATCACAGTACTCTCTGCCACCTTTCACAAATGTTAGATTTTACTATGATAGGCGCATGTTGCTTGACTAGAAACACTGAGTAAATTTGAATGTTTCTAATTTCCCATCCGTAAGCCCAACAGATTGAAGATGCCAGCGCTACTGCACCCTGGGCCATTTTTAAGTGGAGGAACCAACCTGTGCCATCTTCTGCTTCTGCAGTTGTTTTCTGCTGCAGGAAGCAGCAGCACCGTGCACGAGCATCTCTGGTGCCATGTCACTGCAGGTGCAGCAGTTCAACCTACACAGAAACTACCAGCTTCAGAAACTGTGCCCTTTCACGCCCACCCTCTGCTGCCCCATCTCAGGAAGATATGCATGGGCAGTCTGACTTTTCACCAGAACAGTTTCCTCAGTAGCTGATATACATGTATGTCATTTAAATATGCTTTGGGAATCACCAAATGGGAGGTAAGGACCTCATGGATTCAGTTTGAATTTGATTTATTATTTGCTATCAAGTTCCTGTTTGCTATCCATCTCTTGCACAATACCTGTGAGACTGGAAGGAACAGATGGCAGGAACAGGAGGTTTACATCCTTAGATGGTTCTCCACCAGCCTGCATAACTTTTTGTTCTTACAAGCAATGGTTGGTGGAAAAAAAGGAAAAGTAAATCCTTCTCCCTCTCTCTGTGTGTCTCTCTGTTTTGTTTTTGTTGCTGTTTTCCCTTTTCTGGTGAGCAATGTTGTTCACATCTGCAACCTTTGCTGCTTCTTCTGTTCCTTGCAAGTCTCATTGCTCTGTGTGTCTATATGGCCTAATGCTCTAAGTGGACCCTTGTACAAGTCCCTATTCTCATTTCCATCCCTTCTATTATGCTCTGTATGCGTCTGTTAACACATGGTATTAGGTGGGTCATTGAACATCATCTTCATTTTCTGGGTTCATGCCAAGAGCTGATTTTTACAAGTAGGTTGCAATTACAGCTGAAGTCAGTGATAACAATGTTTTGAATGCTTCTTAAATATAGAAAGTATTTTTGTAATATGTAATATATTCTTGCATCTCAAGTTATTTTTGGCTACTGTAAACATCAGTTCATTTGCACTTCATCTTCTCTATGCAAGAGGATAGAAATTATTCTTCAGTTTGTAGAAGTGCTGCTATGACAAATGTTCTTAAGATATGAAGATATCATCAAATGATAAGCCTCAGAAAATCAAGGAGGGCTATGTGTTGCATCCTTGGTGAAAGAAGAGCAATGATCTGTAAGAAAAGATTCAGTAAAAAACAACTGGCATTTTAAGACTCTTGGTAAAATCCAAGAGAGGTTACATGAAGTAACTGTTGTAGGAACCCCAACTGAGAGAGGCTGCATGCTTACTTTTGATTTAGTCTAATGCTGAACTTGGAAGAATCCCTGCAAACAGAGGCTAATGTTAACACGAATAAACAATCTGCAATGTCTAGTGTAACATTAAAGAAAGGCTTAGGAAGTCTTCAACATAAATGAATGTTTAAAACTGTTGCTAAGCAATATGGATGATCAAACTTAAGTTTTATTGTTTTAAAACTCCGGTCTTTATAAATAAAGCCATCTGATACTCGAGGTATAGCTAAATGACATCTGTTATGAAAGGCACCACACATGTACTTTTACCCACACCTGCCAAACCTTTCTGTCTTTCAGTTTAGCTACCAGGAAGTACATCATTGTGCCTTAATGGCTGTGTTTTAACAGCTTGCTCTTCCCTTTTTTATCTCCGTGTCAGATATATTTGATTTCTGCTTGGGCAAACATAATTATTCTTTCGAACAATAACTTTCCGGGAATGAATTATGACGTGCTTTTGCAATTTGGAATCACGGTATATCCCAAATTGCAAGGGACCCACAAGGATCATTGAGTCCAACTCATGGATGCACACAAGACCCTACAGAAATCAGACCTTATTGTCTGAGAGCATTGTCCAAGTGCTTTTTGAACTCTGTCAGGCTCAGTGACATGACCACTGCCCTGGGGAGCCTGTCTCAGTGCAGAATGTCTCTGGGTGCAGAACCTTTCCCTAACCCCCAGCCTGACCCTCCCCTGCCCCAGCTCCATGCCATTCCCTCGGGTCCTGTCGCTGTCCCCAGAGAGCAGAGCTCAGCGCCTGCCCCTCCGCTCCCCTCCTGAGGGAGCTGCAGGCCACCGTGAGGCCTCCCCTCAGCCTGCTCTGCTCTGGGCTGAACAAACCAGGGAACCTCAGCCGCTCCTAATACATCTTGCTCTCTAGAGCCTTCACTATCTTCATAGCCCTCCTTTGGACACTCTCTAATAATTTTATGTCCTTCCTAAAGTGTGGTGCCCAAAACTGCACACAGTACTTGACGTGAGGTGGCACCAGAGCAGAGCAAGACAGCCTCTTCCCTCAACCAGTTAGCAATGCCATACTTCATGCACCTTGGACATGGCTGGCCCTCTTGGCTGCCAGGGCACACTGCCATCTCATGTTCAACTTGCTGTTGACCAGAACCCACAGATCCCTTTCTGTGGGGCTGCTCTCCAACCTCTCATTCACCAGTCTGTATGTGTAGGAGGGTTGCCCTGTCCAAGGTGCACAATCCTGTACTTGCTGTTGTTAAATTTCATATTGTTGGAGATTTGGTTATGTTACCTGTTGTGTCCAACTCAGTGTTAAGAGCATCTCTGAGAAAGCTAGAGAAGATAACTACTAACCAATTAAGGGGTGGAAGAAAACAAATGTTTGCACATTTTGGACCAATTTTTTTACAGTTTCTGTTTGTCAGCTGGGTGGCAAAAACAAGTATTAGGAATTCTATGGGGCCGGTGAACCTAACTGCTGCCAAGGTGACAGTTATATGGATCACTATCTATAGGATCTCTCCTGGGCAGAGCCAATGACTTCCAAACCTGGCCAGGCCCTGCTAAGTGGTGTGAGGGCTACCTTGCAGGGTAAACTGAAAAGAAGACAGAGTCCAGCTGTCTGAATTCAGATGTACATCTCTTTCTCTGCAGATGCACAATCGGCAGATGTAAGCTGACGTACTAACATTGATTTTAGTAGTAGTATATCTACCTCACTGTCTCCATTTATCTTTATCAGACCTCAATGAAAAGATCATTAGGTTAAGATGTTTGGCCCTTAGTGGAGACAAACTGAAAAAAGGAAAGAGAGAAAGCATGTTAGATAGCAGTATTTAGCTAGCACAATAATAAACGCTATCTGAAAAACTTTGGAAGGTCTCTAACAAGGAATAGGGAGTATATCCTACAAAGTCTATGACGTAGCAGTGACTACCTTACTAGGCCTAAAGTTCACTCTATTCTTTTTGCTCAGTTTAAGGGACTTGGTGCTAAAATGTCAAAGCTTCTTGTTATTATATATTTTCCCTAAGATTTTCATAAATGTTTCAGAATGATGTTTTGATCTTTTCAAAGCTATTCATAACTTTGACAGGAATTACTAGGGAAGTTTTGCCTGAAAATTAAACTGAGCTGGATATTTTCAGTGATTGGTGTCTGTGAGGAAGAAAAAGAATTCAAACAAAAAGTTCCTGCATTCACAGTGAGGGTTCAAAATCACCGGAATTGCACAAGCCCCTAGATGATCACTAAGGCTTTGCAATACTTCAGTTTTCTCTGAAACTATGAGACTTCCTTGCTTTTTTTCCCATGAATACTCATCACAAAATTTTATCAACACAAGCAGTGGGCATATGTTTATGCTACACCTGAAACAGCAGCTGACATTTTGCTTTCCCCACAGATGATTGAGGGAATTAGGGTTTGAGGCCCAGCTATGAACCTCACGTCCTAGCACATGGTAGTCCTCATGCAAACAATTAGTACAGATCTTTGCCAAGTTTTAGCTCTTCACTAATGCTTATAATTCCTCAATAAGTCAATACAACTTTAATGAAAAGAAGTTACACCTGTGTGTAGTATTTTTCATTACTGAAATCTCTTTTCTAATTTCTACCTAGCAGGTAGGAAGATAAGTGCATAGCTGGTTAAATTTCTTAGAATTCAACATAAACTCTTGCAGGTGAATAGGATTTGTTCCATTCTTCTCCAACTTCAGAAAGATTTTTATAAATTAAAAAATAAATTATAAAAATTAAATTATAAATTATAAAATATAAAATTCAGTGGTATTTGAAAGCTACTATGGTCTATATGATGAAATATCTTTCCTTATTTCCTGCTTTGTTTTAGTTAAAAATTACATTTACGGACAAATATTTTATTGTCAATTTTATTTCATAGATTCCTTTTCAATTAATAGAATATGTAGTAAACTTCACTATGCACAGTATCAGATTATTCCAATTTTAGTTGGTCTTGTTCTGCCATTAAAAAATATTAACTCCTTCCTACACTTCTTTTTACTCTTGCATCCTTACACCATCAATGCTACAAGGCTAGGAGGTCATCAAAATACACATTAATGTTAAAAGCAGCAAATGATGATGGATAGGCAGAGTTATAATCATGTAATTGTAATTACAGTGTGTTTTTTATATTGTACATATTTCTAGTACAAATTCACTAATGCCATGAGAATATCTGAACAGACAGTTCAGATAAGTGTGTAAGTATGACTTACACACTTAAAATATTGCATGGTTGTTGTAAATATTTTAATACTTTCACAGATGGAAGCTCCAAGTGCCTTTGTTAATTATCAATTTTTTTCTAAACTGACAGATAAGATATTGCTGTCAATAAGCTAAGCTTCTGCTTCACAAGACCTATCATCCCTAGTTTTTCTAGCTGATACACAGGTAGACACTAGGTAAGACTGTTATGGATATCTGTGGCTTCTGTAGGAAGTGCTGTTTGTCTACAGCATCAGTTTTTGAGAGGTTTATTTTTAGAAGGTGTGCTGTAATTCTTCTCTATGGGCTCCATGACATGTTACAGACTTCAATAAGCCACTGAGAAGTGTTCCTATATTAGCTGTAGTAAGCCTTATAATAATTACTGATACCTTTATTAACCTTTGCAAGTCATTGCTCTTTTCAGTTTTCCTGCCTTGATGGTGGACAGTGACCCGGCAAACAATATCTGGATGAGGTGGGGGCTACAGTTTGGTTCTTGGTTAATTAGAAATGTATGAATTCTTCATCTCAAACACAGGGCATGGCCTTTCTGTCTGTCATCCACTAAATCTGCACTGAATCTGTGTACTTAGGAATGATTACTGTCAGTAATTCACATATGATAAGATGAGTTGTTCATAAATGTTTTGTATTATTGTGGCTAATAGTTGTACAATCTCTGATTGTGCCTCACTGGTCCATGCTATTTAATGGATAACTTGAGGTTATAATGATTAAAATATGTGTACAAGAACAAGGCTGTAGTGTCCTGTTCTCTTAAAAATAACAGATTATTTTGATTCTGTCACTCTACTGTTGCTCAAGGTCTGCTTGCCTTAATTCAATGTGGACAATATAATACATTAGATTTTACACAGAGCTTAAGTTTTCCCAAAGGTGTTACCAGTCTTATTTAAGTCAGCCATAAAATTTGGATTACATTTGTTTTAATGCAGTATTTTTCTACCTTCATCTGAAGTCTTGCACCAGTAAAACCTCTTAAGGATTTGTTTTTCTCTCTGTATGACCAGAGACACTGTGTAAAGGCGTGTCTTGTTTGCTTACCAAGAAAGCGTATTGACAAGAGAAGAGAAAGTTTTTCGAGTTCCGAGAAGGATGGAGTTCATGAGGATACCATCTGGAGTAGCTTTTGGGGTGGAGTCACAGACATTAATTACATTAAAAATTAATTTGATTCTTCTTTGGCATGTTTACCCCAGGGTCAGCAAACACTCTTGATCTTTCAGAAACTCAAATACTTTCCCCTAAGGAAAACATAAGAGAGGCTATTTATTTGTTTGTATGGTTATTTATTTATTTCACAAAAGATCAACTAAATTCTCTCTTTTCTAATTTCTACCTAGCAGCTGGTTAAATTTCTTAGAATTCAGCGCAAACTCTTGTAGGTGAATGGGATTTGTTGCATTCTTCTCCAGATTCAGAAAGATTATTATAAATTTCATGTCAATTTGGAATGCACGAAATACTCGGGATTTAGAGTATGAGCATCTTGAAAAATGCTGTTTTGCGAGTGACACTGATGATCTGTGAAGCATGGAACATCTAAAACGTCCCAAAATAACTCTTTTTTTTTTTTTTTGGATTAACATGTAAAAGTATTGATTCCAACCAGTGAAATCATATTTTATTCAGGTGATTCGACTGCAACAAAAACAGAAGTCAAATTATGTTCACATGCAGCTACAGTAGAAGTTCCTCTCTTTTTTTCCCCCTCTCTCTCTTTTTTTTTTTCTACCATGCTAGTAAATCTAGGCAGGTTAATAAAAGCATATTTTGCCCGAAGTGCTGAAGGTGCAGCTGAGTAAGAGATGGAGGTGAGTGACAGGGTGCATAAGAAGGAGGTCCCTGGAGTTTGCAGCTCTTGCAGCACCTGTGTGGTAAGAGGGCTGCAGGAAGCAGCCTTTTTAAAATTTTAAGGTCATTTTCAGTACCGGAGTTTCAATGTCAGGGTAGCACTTGCCTTTCTCAGAGCATTTGTGAGGTGTTAGTTACTCTTTTACCTCTTTAGGGGCACATGGATGAGTGAGCAGCACTCGGAGAATGGATGGGAAAGCACCACCTTAGGGACCACCCCCAAGGCAAAGCTCCTGGCTGCTCAGCTGCAGAGACACTTCTCACTCTACGTATGTGGCTGATGACACCCAGTGCAAACCAATGGACCTACATTGTCAACAGGTTGACACTGGAGGTCTTCATAACCAACATGCTTATTCTTGTTTGCCCTTCAGAAATTGCTGCTGGTTACAAACCATAAAAGTTCCTGGAGTGTACCAGACTGGGAGCAGGGGATCAGCTCCCACCCATCAGCATGGTCTTCTACATCTGGATATTATGAACCCTGTACCCATTACATGACCAACAGTACTGCTGTTGAGGAGTCAACTTCTCTCTTGACCAAAACCTGTTTGATCAAGGACTGTCCTGGGTTACAACCTTAGGCCAGGTGAGAAAAGGGTGAGATGCTGGACAAGCCACAAGGCAGCACAGCCTTGAGGGCTTGCAAGTTTGAATAACTGCTCCCAAGTAGCACAATCCCTCCCCTGAATATAAACTCAGCTATTTTATTTCCAGGATGAAACAAAGGAACCTCCAAAGTTGGACGCTGAGAATCAGCACCACAAGGAAAACAAAAATAAGAGGATTACAACAAATTCTGGATAATGTACATTGGTGTGCTTGTGGTGGGAAGCCACAGAGTTTTTCTATTGTGCCACAGTTAGGGCAGCGCAATGCTAAGCATAGTGCATGCTGTATGCCAGTGATATGAAGGGCAGTAGATGCAAAAGGCTATGGGATAAGTATTAAGGCAGGGAGCACTCCACGGCATACGTGATGAAATGAGGCCTGTTCTCTGCAGAACATGGTAGATATAAACCAGACCCAGGGCTGCCAAGTTTCACATGACCCAAGTAATGGGACATAGATATAATAATGGCTACAAGTCCCAAATAATGCACATTTCTCATACTACATGGTCAAATGTGTCTCGGGTACTAAAACATTACATATTTCATTCATTTCCAGAGTTTTGAAGAAATTTTCCAAATACCCAGTGGAATGTTCTAATATACTATGTTTAAGTCTGATCTGAAATGCTTGGACCCAACACGTGTATGCCATGATTGCCATGTGTGCCATGCAAGCTCAGAGGGATTGCAGAACTGAAGGTCCTTTACGGAGCAGACTTGGTGTCTGTGTGGGTCATGGAGAACCACTTTCTCTCTCTGAGATTGCACCTAAAACCATTACAAAGCTGTTTTTTTCTTCATAGTTAAGTACCGTGGTCTGAATGTCATCAAGGCCCATTAAGCATTAGGAAGGCCCTGCTGAATGGTGTGTAAGGCTGAGGAACATGGACACTTTTTCATGCAGTGTTCATGCAGTCTGAAAAACAGGAAGGGACAACAAGGCTTCTCTGGGGAAGATTTGTTCAGCATTAAATTAGCAAACTTCACATCACACATTTTAGTATCAGTGTCTGACTAGTGTTATCCTGGCAACCTACATTATATCTTTGAAAATAAAAAAAAAATTCTAATCAGAGACTTCATCTGACTGAGCATAAATAATAATTGCATTGGCTCAAGCACTATTTAAATGATGTACCACTGATATAGGTACACAACAGAGTGTTCACATCTCTTTCTCCTAAATAAACTCAACTGCCACAACTGCTAAACAGAAGCGTAAGACTGCAGAACAGGAATGATACAGGATAACTGCCACAAATCATGAGGAGCTCATGGTCACCATGGGAAATTCTCATTCTGCCTATGCTACTTGTGTAACAGTTAAGGAGTTACATTATGGGGAGTTTCGCAGGGGATGCTTCAGGTCCTTTTCGTAACGTCTTCCAAAAAGTGTTGCTGTTAAGAGTGGTTTTGATGTGGTATTCTTACTTTCCAGACGTCCATCAGGTAGCACCTAGATGAAAAGAGAAAGAGTGATTTTATTACCCACTAACAGAGTAGCAGTATTGCATGGTACAAAAGGGATAGGCCTTAGAGGTCAAATAATTATACACAGAACTTTTTAAAGACGATCCTCTGTTTCATGCATGGAAATGTTCTTGCACTTCAGGCACTGAAACAGAGCTCAGAAAATTGAAGTATCATGCTCAGCTCTGCCACTGCCTTCCCACATTTCCTTGGACCTGAAAGTCTTGAAAGTCCTTCCAGCTCCATCTTTGTAAGAAAGATCATTTCCTCCATCTCTAAAGAATACAAGAGTGGCAATAGCTGGTTTGTTAGTTACTTGTACATGGTGATGTAGGTTATATCTAGGTGTCCTGGTTTCAGTTAGGACAGAGTTAATTCTCTTCCTAGTAGCTGGTGGAATGCTGTGTTTTGGCTTAGGATGAGAAGAGTGCTGATAACACCCCGATGTTTTAATTGTTGCAGAGCAGTGCTTATACTAAGCCAAGGACATCTCAGCTTCTTGCTCTGTCCTGCCAACGGGCAGGCTGGGGGTACAGCAAGAGCTGGGAGGGGACAGACCCAGGACAGGTGACCCAAACTAGCCAAAGGGGTATTCCATACCATCTGACGTCATGCTAAACAATATCTAGGGGTGGCTAGCCGGGGGAGGGGGCCGGGACTGCTCGGGGTTAGGCTGGGCATCGGTCAGCGGGTGGTGAGCAATTGCATTGTGCATCACTTGTTTGTACACATTATTAATAGTAGTACTATTATCACCATTGTATTATTATTGTTATTATTATTATTTTCCTGTCTTATTAAACTGTCTTTATCTAAACTCACGGGCTTCACTTTCCATTTCTCTCCCCCATCCCAGAGAGGGAGGGGGGAGGGTGAGCGAACGGCTGCGTGGTGTTTAGCTGCCGGCCGGGTTAAACCACGACACTAGGACAGTAATATTAAATCTTTTTCTTTGTAGACCCCTAAACAATTTCCAGATGGAAGTAAAAAGAATTGTGGTCTAATGGACATAGGTTGCTTTTCTTAGCTACTTTTTACAGATCTGTCTGAAATCATTGTACACAACCTATGGGTACCTGTAACTTTTTTAGAGCCTCTATGACAGTAGTACGCATATATATGATAAGATAAACTTGTTTCCTCTAAAGCTCTACGAGCTTTTTTCATTGACTTCATTGTCTCTTGCAAACTATTAAACAACTCTTACAAATCAATAAAGATTTCATCTAGTCTTTTACATAAATGTAATCTGAAGTTTATGGATGGAAACATATTTTGACAAATATATGAAATTTCATGTAAAAAAAGTATTAAACCTGACAAATCACTTAAAAATACCTTTCCGTATTTTTAACTGCATTAGATCTCTACCCTTATGCATAATACTCATTACTAATTGAAAGCTGCTATTTATAGCTTTGGGCTGTGAAGTGGGAATGCATACTTGCTAAAGAAAACACTGAAGAGATTATCAGCCTTAGCATCTATATGTTCTTCTCGATGAGGATGAACTCAGTACATGTGTTTAACTGTCCTCTTCTGTAGAACTGGAGTGGTTCTGACTTAGCTGCCATAGCAGTTTCCCTTCCAGTACCACAGCCTTGAAAACCTTGTGTCAAACAGTTTTGGAGTGTCCCATTACCTCAAATTCCCCAGGGGCCAGCTGCACGTCGCTGTACAAGACCTCTGGAAAGACGTAGTTAGTGCCAAACGTGCCGCTGAGGGAGAACATGTCAAACTTGGTCTGCGCAGTCTCCACCGGCTGCCCACATGTGCTCAGGTCTGTGCTCTTACACTTGAGCAGTGTGCATACCTGTGGTGAGAGGATATAGAAAAGTAACATGCAGTAGGATTTCAATAATCTAGAGCTGGACTTGATAGAAAAAAAAAAAAAAATTCTTATGATGTAGGAATGAGCAAATGTTTTGGAATGATTCATTAATTTTGGTATATACAACCCATTCTCAACCCTTCTGAACCAATTACCTGCCAATGGTATTTTATGACAGAACCATGAAGCCCATCAAATGCACCAAGTACATAAATTTCATCGTTGCTCTTGTTTGACATCCTGTAGGTCAAATGACAACAGAGGTCCTTCTGGCAAACTGTATAATTTCCATCTTCGTGCTTGAGTTCACTGAAAGTGAATATATCACGCCGGACAGCTCCCAGAAAAGTGATATCTTCTGTAAAGTTTTTCACGCTTGTAGCGTACAAGCTCCAGTTGACTGCAGGAGGGTAGGTGGGAGAAAGACGGGGTCGTGCACTCAGCTCGGCTACCAGGAGACGTCCCTCTTCTGTCTTACTGTTGTAATAGTAGGCGGCCGCTCCGCCCGGCGTGAACAGCCCACTCCCTGCAAACGACACGCACGGCACCCACTGTTACCACCTCCCAGCGGGTGGCACCGTGGGCTCTGTCACCTGTAAACATGAGGCTGTCTTCAGACAACTCGTTAATGAAAACTGTGGAAGAATTTTAAAGTGTGGAGACACTAAAATACACATCCATAATTTAAAAAAACGTAAATCTAAAATCCAAAGGTTTTTTGCTTCATTGGATCTTGAATCTGAGACTTCAGAGGCAATTTCACACAAGGCCATATATATTTTTAATGACTTACATTAATTATGACAGAAATTAGAGCTCTGGAAGTGATATATATGCCAAGAAGGAAACTGTGGGCATAATTACATTTCATAAAAGGAAACCTAGAGCAGTGCCCAAATTCAACCCAGTATCTTAACGGCAGACAAAAATGTTCCTTTGTGGCTTTCACTTCTGCTTTGGGGAGTAGCTATATATGCAGCTAGAAAAATGTTTTCTCAGTTAACAGAAAAAAAAATGGCAGTAGACATCTATTCGTATCGAACCAAAATATATCATCTCGAATTCTTCATCAGCAACAAAAATCTGAAAATGCTTTATTCAATACAAAAGAGAATTCCTTTTTTTTTTTTTCTGTTTTTTTTTTTTTTTTTTGGGGGGGGGGTTATTAAGTTATGTTTAAAACATTTTTATCCATTTAACTGTTGATTGAAATTTAAAAAACAAAAAAAATGCTGCCTCTAAACAAGATGGTGAACATTTAACTGAATGTTTGTGCCATTTCTGAAAGAAAACCTTGCTTTTGAAGTACCAAAATTTAATGTCATTCTAATATTACCTCTCCCTGAACTTTCATCATTTTCTTGCCAGTAGTGGTTTACTGCATTCAACACAGCATCAAGAATATTTTTAGTCTTCTTGAAATACTGTTTTCCGGAGACTTTGCTATTTCAAAACAATGTTGCCTGCTTCTGAATCCTGTACTATGAAGACTATTCCCCTTTTCCCCAGGGCAACTCACCTGTCATAGACATTCTGATGTTGTGAGTATTTGCTGACAATAAATTGACTCTCATGCCCATTGCCCATGCAGAGTGAAATTCCACAGCAGTCAGAAAGGGCAGGACGTTCATCCAGGCCGTTGGGAAGAGCACCGTGTCCACCTGGAGCTCACTCACCAGCACCACAGCAGGCTCCCGGAAAAGGATGTCGAAGCAAGTGAAAATGCCAAACTTTCCAAAGGGTGTCTTGAAGGTGACAAGTTCTGGCTCTTTAGGGTAATTAAACTGTGTTTCTTGTCTAAATAGGTTGTACTGCAGGCAAAGAAAATGGCATATCAGAAACTAAAAATAAGGCAATATTATTAGCTGCCACTTTTTTATCTGAGATTAAAGCAAAACTGTGGGTTGAGATTCCTTTGGGTAAAGGAAATCTCAAAGCTTCCTCGACAGCCACTGGAGATGTCCAGGGAAGGCTCAGTGGTGACTGGGAGTCAAAGGAAGTAAAACCCTCACCCAGAGGTTTGTTGAGCAGGAGGTGGATGCGTCCCTAATGTCTACTGGCAGCAGTGCTGAGCAAATGCTAACTGCTAAATGCTGTCAAGGCATCACCTGAGAAAGTGCTGCCTGGTTTGGCTAAAACTGTGCTGAGAACCAGCTAACATTTACTGAGCATGGCCAACTGTGCCAATGTTTCATTCCAGTTTGCTCTCATTAATGTAGTCTTGAGGCATTTGATAGCCAGCATGCCTTCTGCAGCTGCGGTGCTCCTGGGAACAGTGCCCGATGGATCAAGTGTTTGCCTGCTCTTCCCTCTGGCCACAAGAGCCTTGCATTGGATTGGCTGTCACTCTACAATTACCTAACGTTATTGTATAAATCTGCTGAAATCAGTGCCAAAGAGATGAAATGTATACTGATGATCAATTACAGGGTGATGCCGAAGTGCCTCTTTACCTTGTGGTAACGAGCCACCAGTTTCCCTTCTGAGTCAAAGACAACATCGGTGTTGTACTGGTAGCGACCATCACTGGGGCAGCTGGGATCACTGGAATTGCACGACTTCTTGTCCCCGATGTTTGCAACCACATAGATGGAGTTATTCCTGGCCATGCAGCTGAGTCGTTCCAGCACTGGTGTTGGAGCAAATCTAAGATGTTTTATATGAAATAAACAAAAACATCAACAACAAAATTACAAGTTTAAGTTTGAATATTTTTGAATGTATTCAAACTTACTGTTCCACTAACTGCATATCCCCAGGTGGCGTAAAAGGGAAAGATCGCTTCTGTTCTTTTTCTCCTCTCTGTTCATAGCATCATTTTGAATTCCTGGTGTCTTTTAACTGTAAAAAAGGGGCTCCCTGTGCTCTTCTTTCCTGTACCCTTAAAGAAACTAAGTTGTTGTTTTCTGTGTGCATATAATTCCCAGCTAACATACAAACAAAGCTATGGACAGCTTCAGAAAACAAGGGAGAGAATAAACCAATATATAGGTATAAACTTAAAATAACTTAAAAATTAATGATCAGGAAAATCTGAGTCTCAGTTTCAAAAGACCTTTTTAAAAACTCTTCACTCTGTTTAAGGCAGCTGTCTATAAACCATTGGTAAAGAGTGGTCACAACGTTTACAGACCCTTGAAATCTTGCTACATAAAGCCCCAAAACAGAAGAATACTAAATCTTAGTTGAGAGGCAACCCTTATCCCCTTGGTGTCCCCGGCTGACACACATTCAGAGAAGCCTGGTGTGCCATAGCAGACTGTGTAAGTAGTTGGATTCCTGAAAGGCATTTCATTCAAATCTAGAGAAATATTTTGTGCTATTTGATTAAGAAATCATTCCGGCCACATGAGCTGAGATCTGAATCACCTTGTTTAATCCATGCTTTTGCCATGATAATTAACTGGTTTATAGTTACAAAAAACTTTCTCGAGTAGTCAGAAGTGGTAAGCTTTTGCATGATTTCAAAATAATGATGTTGCCTAAAATTTCCTCATTTTCCTCCTCTTCTAATTTTCAAAAGTGAAGCTGTTTCAATGCTTTTTATCTTGCATATTTCAAATACATTTAATTAAGAGTTCTTTTTGAAGCATTTAATTTATACAGCATTTGGGATTTTTAAGAGATTAAAAAATTAATCAGTTCCTAGGCATTTTTCAGGAACAGCTCACAACTCCACGGGACACCAGCTTAAAACCAGACAAACAGCTGCAGAAGGAATCACCTTGTGGGATCAATGCAGGGAATCCAGTTCACCTCTGGATCGGGAATGTCCTCCAGGTACGGGTAGATGGCTTCTCTTGTGAAAACCCAGCCATAAATGCCATCCTCAGGAGTCACAATGATGTGCGCACCCTGGCAGAAGAGGCTCTGTTAAGAAGTCTCCATCAGTACATCCCCGCAGAGGGGTGTCAGCGGGAGGAGAACACACGATTAACACCACTTGGGATACATCTCGTACCTGCTGGGCTGCTTCCTTGATGGCTCCTTCCAAGATGTCCATGTTCTTGTTCATCAGGGCCAAAGCATCTTCAGGAGAAACTGTCTCTTGAGCGGCACGTGGCAGGATGACGGCGTGCTCGTACACAGCCGCAATGAAGGTGTCTGAGGCCAGGGCCTGCAGGGCTGCCAGGGCAAACACCGCAGCGTGCACTACAGGCCAGGGAGGGATCATGGCTGCTGCCTGGCAATTGCTTGAATGCTCTGAGTCTGGAAGAGTCATGAGGAATATAAAGTAGAAGGGAAGAGGAGGAGTAAAGTTTGTAACAGGTTTGTTTTGGAAGTAATCTTCTATTGAGTAATCTGGGGAAGTACAGTGCATGTCAACATTCAAGAACATTCATTTATGGTAAGAAGAGAAAGAAACAGTTGCATAAATTGGATCATTTCCAATTTAAAATGTCATAAATAAAAGGTGAACAAATGGCTAAGAGAATGTGCTAGGAGCAACACAGGTCTACAAGCGTCTTCACAGAAGGATCGCTTACAAGCTCCATTCGCATCTTTCTCCAGGCTTCCACACTGATCTCTGCGCTAGCCCAGGCTCTCATGGTGAGGGCACACTGTTCCACACAAATTCACTCTGGCTTCTATCAGTTAAAAATGCAGCCAGGGTTGAGGTCAGACCACCTGCATGCAGTGGAGCGTAGCCGCAGCTGATACCACATACAGTTATAAGCTATGTGGTCTTGCCACGCTATGCTCTTGTGGCCAATAACTTATCATATCTAGAGTACTTTAGAGCATCCTCCCTCCCAGGTACACACTGTAGTATACACTAACCCTTGAACTGTTCTGATCTTTCTGCCTAGAGCTGAAATACTAACTAGTTTTTTGAAGATTAAACAACAAACCTTTTTTGCTATTTTATGAAAAGCAATTTTTTTCACAGTAATTAATTAGAAATTGCTTATAGCAAGCAATTTTTATTCCTCACAAAGAGTAATTTTTTGCATATTTTGGAAATAGCACTTTGCTACAATAGCTCCAGGTGCTTCATTAACAGTCCACTGTTAGAAGCTGCATCGTGCCTGTGAGGATGAAGGAACATAACCTGGCTAATCATCTTGACTTTTCAGTAAGACATCAACAAACATACTCTTCATCCTGACAACATCCTCCTCTTCACTATGCAGCTCCATCCAGAAATCTTACTTCTGTCCATCAGCATCAAGGCCTCCTCAGAAGAAGCAGGCAAGAGCACACTGTGCTCATAGACGGCTGCAATGTAGCTGTCCAGGGCCCAGGCCTCAAGAGCAGACAGCACCAAAACCGGACAGCAGAGGCACGAGCCCTGAAAAGCCCCAGACCTGAAATCTGGAAGTCACCCACAAGAAGGACCAGGGTGAGCAAAATCAGGGGACTTTAATAGGGAAAGTCTTGCAGAAACCTGGGAATTCTCCAGAGCACCAGAAAGTTGACACCATGCGATGCAATCACGGTGTCCCTAAAGACTCAAATATCAAAGGTCGGAGAGCCACAGGCATTGAGCAATCCTGCCCCACGGTTACACCACCGAAAGAGAAGTCGCCGCTGTGCTGCAGCTGAAGAAACGCATTGCCGGCCAGATTCACCGAGTGTTCAGGCCCGGCATTACTCTAATAAGTTGAAAGCAAGCCCAGGTCACAGTGGGAAAACAAGCCAGAGGAGTTTAGGAAATCACAGCAAAGACCGGAACAGACACATTCCTGGCCAAAGTGCAGGGTGTGGGGTGCAGGCAGGGCTGCCAGAGGTGGGTGCTTGGGCACCGCCTGTGCCACCCCTGGCTTAGGGCTGTGGGGCCTCTGGGGGCCGCTCCACATCACAGCAGGGATGCCAGCAGGCTGCTTGTCTGGGCAAACCTGTTAGGACACCGCTCCATAACTGAGCTCAGCGGATCTCTAGTCCTCAAAGATCTCTGTTAGAGCAGCATTGTCCTTGGGAGCCATAATTCCTAAATTTTGCCCATTGCACCCTGCTTTAGTTACATCTACAGATCACCCCATTGTAAATCTTGAAGCTGAAGCTGCACCTGCAGAAAAAAATCACATTTGCTAAGGTTTCTTACCTTCTTTGTTCCTGATTCAGCTGTCAGATAAAGAAATGTTTTTGTTTTTTTTCCTGTACTGGCCTGGAAGAATAGTCTATTGTTATCAGTGGTTACGCACAGACTTATCTTTATGCACAGTGAGTTGGTATGTGGACGAATGGGTAGATTTGGAAAGGATTATACTCTGTATGCCTGCCTCACTTCATGCAACAACACATTTCATGATTATGAATATTATGCAATCTTTGCGGCAAAAAGAATTTAGTGCAATAACGGCTTATGCCAGCCTTCTATGAGAAAACATTCAACATTCAAACACATAAATCTACCTAGTCAGACAGCAGTGGTCTTTGAACCAAATCCTAAATTCAAAGTACTTGCCAGGTTCAGGGTTGGGATCACATTCATTTCCATTGCCAGGTTCAGGGTTGGGATCACATCCATTTCCTTAGCCAAAGGACTTGTACTAGCAGGGAACAGTCCTGAAGGATCTGCCTCCCAGCCTCACCACATGCTCCTACTACATCCTTTCTACACTGCAAGATGAAACCTCCTTGCATACCATAGCATCCTTTAAACTCAGATCCTTTCCTCAGGCAAGTTGCGTCATGACCCGCCAGGTTCCTGGGGGACGAGGAGTGTCTGCACTGAGTCTGTATACCTGGGAAGAGGATCAGACTGAATAAACCCTTGCTAAATTGAGATCCGTCTGGGGGCAGGCAACAACTGACAGAAACAGCAAAGAAGGTTTTGAGAGAGCGTGGCTCTAGCAGCACTGATGTTGAGCTTCCATGAGTCAGAGCATGGTATAGAGTACATGGTATAGGGTTAGGAAGATTTGGGATTTTGATGAACAAGTTCATGCTATTGTATTGTGTCACAACTATTTATTTGTCTTTGAAAGCAGAAAGGTCATATGGTGCCCAGCAGTGATAACTAGTGCTGGAGTCCAGATAGGATTTGCATTTCTATCTTCTTGTCAACTTTGTAACCAAAGTACGAGGAACTGAAGACCTTGAGAGTGCTGTGCTGGGACCAGAAATGGTGCCTGTGTGGGGAAAAAGGAAGTGGAATTGGGACTTATAGGGGTGTCTGACCCGTTTTAAAAGTCCACAGAAAGAGATGCACATCTCTATACACCAATATGCTAAAGGAAGAGGATATGCTTCCCCTGGTCACTGGGGAAGATGAGGAAGCAAAGACATGAATAGTGCTTTCTCACCAGGAGTTGCTAGTATCTAATAGAAATCTAAACCCACTAATCCCAACAGTTAATGCACTTGCAGGGCAGCACCACCCATCATTATGATCAAGAAGCAAAGGGTAAGGCTTATTTCACATATGTTGGTGTTACATGACAAGGGAGAAATAGAAAAGATAGGAGGAAGAAGCTGCTACATACACTGTCACTCAGTGACCTCTTTTCTGGCTACACACAGTTCCAGCACTGTATCCAGTACAGCCAAAAGATCTTGACAAACTTGTTCAGAACCAGCAAGTGGAATATTTTGGGTTTTCTGTTTAAAGTTTTGGTTTAAGAGAGATTTCTGAAAAATGATGATTCATCTTCAGTTCTGTACAAGAAGAGACAACAGATTTTGGCTCAGGGTGGGCTCTTTGATTGGAGTTCTAGCTTAGCCTCCATGATGCACTGTTCTGTGCTGCTACATGCCACACAATATTAATCTTTGGCATAAAGACAACAAACACAAAACAACACAAACAGGAGAAAGAATTGTGTAACTGTGATAAAAGAACAGACTTGTAAAGTAATTAGTATTAGGAGCTGCATATCAGAGACAAAGCATTACTGAGCTTTGTTGCATGGAGCTGTCACGAACTGCATCTTTCAGGGTTTTATTTACTGATCTCAGCAATCTGCAATTGTAAAATATGCAATGCAATTTTAGTAAGAATTTATCTTCTGTCCCAAAATACAGAATTTGAGGGCTAGAAAAATAAAAATTCCAGAAAACAGTGATAGAAACATGACTGCTATTTTGTACTAATAAAAGATTAATATTCTTATAATATAGAAATAGTTACTTCTCAATAAATGGTAGCAATAAAATAATGTTGCTGATTTTTTTCTAAACAAATCACATTGAGAAGTTTGTTCAACATGAAGAATGAAACAATCCTGATTATTGTTGTAGAGTATCTCATTCGGACGTGAGATTATTAGTGTACAGCTTCAGTTATGGTAACATCACAGGAAGGTTGTCCGTTGTGGGTCTTGTTATAGGTGATCCTTTTCATACCACCGACCAAAAAGTGTCACAGTGACAACTGGTTTTGTTGGTTTTGTCTTACTTATCAAACGCCCATCATTCAATACCTGATTGGAAAAAATAAGAGAAAGACATAATTAGAGAAATACTACTATGAACAAATTAAGTGCTCAGAAAGATGTAAGAAAACAAGAAGAAGGTACATCAAACCATATCACGGCAACTAGTGACTTCACTGAAAAGTATAAAATATGTCTGATTATTCACTAAGAAAAAGTTCTCTTTGGCTGTTTTGACGTAGTTATTCCACTACTAGTCCACAGAAAGTCTAACATTAACCAGTTCCGGAGTGCCCCATTACCTCAAATTCCCCAGGGGCCAGCTGCACGTCGCTGTACAAGACCTCTGGAAAGACGTAGTTAGTGCCAAACGTGCCGCTGAGGGAGAACATGTCAAACTTGGTCTGCGCTGTCTCCACCGGCTGCCCACATGTGCTCAGGTCTGTGCTCTTACACTTGAGCAGTGTGCATATCTGCGTGGAAGTCAAAAAGACAACATATTAAGCAAGACAGAAATATTCTGATATGAAAGCCTTGTGCCATTAAACCTTGTATGTGTTGGAGTAGGTGACAGCCACTTAATTTCTTTTATAATCTTAAATCAAAATCTCTTTCATAAACTTCAGTTGTAGCTTACTTTTTCACCCTTGACCTGACTGAGGGTATTACAGACCTGTACTGCCTTAATAGTTAGAAATAACCTTTGTTTCTGATGTAAGCACTACCAGAGTTCTTTATTTGATCCCTGCAGGCCAGTGGCATTTCCACTAATTCTTCTAGTTGCCAGTTCTTATTTGAAGATTCCTTTCTCACAAGTCTTATTAAGATGAATTTGTGAATGGAAATTTTAGGAAAATGAAACCAAGTCCTCCTCATGTGTGCACTGGATTA